CGGGACTGTACGGTGGTTAATGAAAGGGAAAGTGAGCGTGAAAGTGCCTCAGGCTGTGAAGACGGACGAGCTGCTGCCGAGTACAGGGAAACTTTCGAAGACAAAGTTGGTTCAAACTGATTAAATATCTAATCAAACACCACTGCGTTAATGCTATCATACCGATGAACCTGAGCGTAGGAATTTGATCATCCTAAAACATAAATAATGATTTCCCAGCTTTCAGAATTAATCATATTTTTTAAATATTTCAAGTTTTTTTTTAAAAACTGGGTCAGACTGTGAAAAATGTTTTAAAAATTAAGGGAGGATGTTCAGGCAGAACACAGTCACGCAGTAGCACGGCAATAATTGATGACCGATGGGAGTACACAATTGTTAAAAACTATTTTTAAATTATTGACTCATCATTTGGAATACGTTTTTTTTAAAGGTATGGATTTCCTTGTCCTCATAGCTGTGGATGAGTGCTTAGAGAAGTTGTAATTCAACCTGAGGGTTGTGGACTGATTCCAGACATGGTGGTTTATATACTGTCCTTAACTTTACCTTTGATGTTTGGTCAAATGATTAATAGAAAAACAACAGATTTTCTGACTAATAAAAATGAACCAGTTTAATTCCTGCTATACCGAAGTTTTTATTTCCTTCAATGAAATGAATAGAAAATGCACAGGTTTTGTCTGGAGACTACGAGGACCAGATATCAGGTTATGTTGTTTTTTTTCAAGGTGAAGACAGATAACATTAGGACATGTTGACCCACTGAGGTGAGCAGAGCGGGGACATTTAAAAATGTCCAGTGTTTACAATGGGCTCAGAGGAAGGAAGCTGCCTCACTTCCCTGACTCACTGCTGTTCCCACAGGAGGGGCGGCGCAAAGAGACCGAGCTGTGGGTGGGACGAGTAGGAAACCAGGGAGGTTTGGCTGTAACCCCCATGCCCTCCCCCTTTCTTCAACCACCCTCCACCCACTTGGAGTGTTGCAAAACACACGCAGCAGATCTCTCCCCATCACCACGTACGTCTGTTAGTCAGAGTCAGACTGATTTCAAAGGTCGCAACGAGACTGACCCCCGGCTCAGCTGGCTGAGGTCACTTGACCTGCCACAGCTCTGACAGCAACAACAAAGATGGCACAATATTAAATCAGCGCAGGTTTTCTTTAAAAGTGCAGAAATGTGTTGACTCTAAGGGGTGTTGGTTCAAAAAGTGGAATTCCTTTGCAGGAATATCGTGGCCAGAAATTAATCATAACCCTTTTGTTGAACTGACACAAGCAGACGTTAAATCCCTGTGGGAACATTAGTGGCACAACTGATGAAAGACACAGAATAAATTCAAACAGCTGTAAATCAAATAAATGGCACGAGAAATTGACTTTTAACCACAATTTTTCCTGATTTCACTAGCATTAATTAATAACATATGAGTGGTTCAGGATTCAGAGGGCTGCAGAGTGATTATTCTGGGATTGTTAGGTGAAAATAAACTGTTAACTTCCTTTTTTTGCTTAAAAAAATGAAGTTTTTAACTACTTTTGAGTTTGAACTATAATTGAACTCCCACAAATTTGGATTATTATATTAATAAGTCTTGTCAAAAAAAAGCTGAAGAAAATTAAATATTAAAATGCTTTAAAAGAAGAAATGAACCTAAAAAATAAAACATAAATCCCTGAGTACAACACATGAATTTCAATCTTTTTTTTATTATTATTAAATTATTCCAAGGGAAATACATTGGGGTGTCTCTGAAATATGGTTTATTTTCTATAAGGGCCTTGAGAACAATTATCTCTGGTAACGGCCCTGTAGTGGGACATTAGAATATTATATCATGGCGAGGGAGAAGCTAACGTCGTCCGCGGCACTTTATGTGCTGCCTGGAACACAGCAAAAACACGGATAATCACATTTACACCAACAAGACAGTGTTATTAGCCTGTTATTCCTGAGGAAAACACGTCTTCAAAGTATGTAGATGCTGCACTGCAGTGACTCCTGTTGTTGGCAAAAATAATGTTAGAATAAATCAAGAGAAAATAGTTTTACTGGAACCAAGCTGCCTGTCGATCACACTACTATTATTGACTTAATTGAGATAAAAAGAGACATCAATATAAGAATATAATATATTGAAAAAAATGTTACGTAACAAAATGACAAAAACACAAGTACTACACAAATACTGGGTACTTTGTAAACTAAGTAAAAATGGGGTACAGTTCATACTGTCGGGGTGCGGCCAACTACAAGTAAAGATTTAAATACATAGAATATATAAAAGGCTACAAGATATTTTAAAAAAATCGGTATCTAATCGGTTTGTCACTTGCAGTATGACATTCCAAAATCTGTATAGACTTGTTTAGTTAAGTCAAAATTTTAAGGTGTAAAACCTGTTTGATAATACCATCGGGAAGTGGTTGTCAAGCTAAGGGACACACCCCACTAGTTGGCTCTCTGCAGTCGTACGTGGTGGAATCTGATTGTTTATCCAGATTAGGTGAGGTGAGGTGTTAAGTTGTTGCAGGGATCGAATAATGCTGTTTAATACTATGGATAAACACATGTGGTTCCAGGAGTTAGTTTGATTTCCAGTAAGAGTCCAACTCCATGGTGCAGTCCTGTCTCCGCTAATAAATAGGCTAAACTCAGCTAACAGAAGTTAGCTGTGGGGAGTTTACTGCGATGACATATTTGAATGTTAGCATTTCTTGTAGTTTGTTTTTCAAGCTAAAATATACAGTATTTCTCCTCAACCTAATAGTGCGTTACATTTCTAATCATTCATGTCAAAGTGCAGTAGAGATGTTCCAAAACTTCTGTCCAATAGATGGATGAGTCCAGTGGACCAATCGAATCAGAGCTAGTACCTTAGAACAGCAGGTATGACAGCAGTAATCTGCATCTACTATATCTACCTCTGTGATTTGGACTGTGACGCACGATAATACCGTATATCGATATAATTCCTGGTTAATGCACCAACAAAGGAGTTCTTATTGTTGTTGTCACCACCACAGGTGACCCGAGGCTGCTGCTGCTGAATTAACACACACGTCAAAATTTTAACTATGTTTTTGCTAGCGTTAAAACGTGGCGGTGGCTGCAGCCACACGCACGCACACACACACACTAGCAGCTTAAATGTGAGGTGGACGGAGAAGTGGGCAAAATGACTCGAGCGCACACACACACACATCTACACACTGTGTCACACGTAGGCGAGTGTCATAAATCATGGATAGCGCAACACACACATACACACATACACACATACATACACACACATAGACACAGACTAGTGAAGTTCCAGTACTCACTGCGGCCGTTAACGGCAACGTCGCTCGGTTGTGAAACCAGCTCTTGTTTTCTAAAAGCAGACAGAAGCAGGAACATTCGTCTTGTTCAGTTCTGGTCCTGGTTCTTCGCTCGTTCTGCTGCGGTTCCCGGGGCTATTGTCAGCTAACGGTTACGGCGCAGACGGTCAACTGAGGTGAAAGCTGCTCTGTGTCTGCCTCCTGTGTCTCAGTTTCTGTTCCTTCTTCTCCAGCTCCTAACACTGACTGGAGGCTTCCCCACTGTACGGGCGCTCCTGTGACGTCACCACGGTGGAGCGAGGGCGTAAGCCCAGGACGTAAACCCCGCCCCTCCTCTCTCCTCCTCCGCGCTTCTCCTCCTCAGTCTTTTTATTATGCGGCCATTGTTTTTTTTTAATTTGATTCATCTTTTTTGAAAGATAATGAAATCAAAATTCTTTAAATATTATTTAAAAAATGTATACATCATATGCTACGTAATTTCTCCACTAAAGTAAATTTACGTCATTTAAAAAATGATTTTCTCATATACCCGGAATAATTTTGATTAAATCATAATTTTCACCTTAAAGATATAAAATATACTATGATACATTTCCTTAAAAATAAAGTAAACTAAAGATATAAAATATACTATGATACATTAAAAATAAAGTAAACCAAATTTAAAAAAGAAAAGTGTTTGTCAAATGTCATATCTGACAACAGCTAACTCAAATGTCTTTGTGTTTTTGCCTTTCTGTGACCCACACACAGTTACACATCATCTGACGGACTAGACACTGACCAAACACACACCACACTGACACACAAACACACACACACGGTGTCCCAGTTCCCTGGGCGCCACTCAGTCAGACAGTTGAGGTATAAATAGTTTGCAGGCTAAAGTTCCCCCGGAGAGAAGCAGCAGTGAAGCAGCCTTCTCCTCTGAAAAGCCTCCACTCACACCATCATCTGCCGTAAGTTAACTGGCTGTCATGGTTCTTTATTTTTATTATTACTTTCTTCCATGAGATATGATACATAAAATATACGTTGGTCATCGAATGTCAAAACACAAGGCAAAGTGGCTAAATGTTTGGGAGATATAGTTTATTTGGAGAAACATTACAGATCAGTTGAATAAAACAAATATTTAAAAAAAAACACGTTAGTTATTACTTTTATGACATGTACTTTAACATAATCAAAACGACATAAAAATAAATAAAATATAAAATGTTAAATAATGTCAAATATTAAAATGACGTACATCAAAAATAATTCCAAAAGTTTAAATCTATCGCGGTTATATACTATTTCCATGTCGCCGTTCCAACCTTCTACCGTAAAAGTTAAATTTATGATGCCATCTTGTGGCCATAAGTTGGTACTACAACATCTATATTTACTTAATGGGGTGAGTCTTAGTAAATAAAGTGCTCATTAATTATCTAATAAAAAATGATGGGTAAAATGACTACGCTGCCTCTGCCCTTGTCCGTGTGTTCGCGCGTGCGTGCGCGTCAGTGAAAGCGCATCGTCAGCCAAGGAAAGTATCCTTGCTGCAACCCGAAGGTGCTGATGAAACAGTTGAGGACTGTGGTGATGAAGACTATGGTGGTGGTGACGTTGTTCAGGTAGTCCAGGCGATTCTGGAGAGCTGAGTTATTGAGGTCCCGACGTCCTGTTGTACCACACACACACACACACACACACACACAGAGTTGCTGTAATAACACGATAAACTCGTGCTTATGTTAAGTTGCTACATTTATTGGAAGAAGGACATTAAAACAATGTCTCGTATTTCTGCAAAAACATTTTTATACTCAATAATATAAAATGGAGGATTTTACAGAACAGAAAACACACAGAGACAAATGCATTTAAATATGTTAAAGCCTGTTAGAGCAGAAATCAGAATGATGACGATGTTAGTTCAGTGTCACTGGGTTTTAGTTGAGTTACAGCAGAACATCGTCATTAAAGGGGAAACAAAATCTACAAAGTTACTGTTGCGTATTTTAAATGACAACAGTTTAGACAAAAAAAAAAAAAAAGATGTCATGTTGTGTTTGTGGGTCAAAAGTGAAGTCGGGCCAGCAGCCAGCGGAAGAAGCCCGTCCTCTTGGATCCAAAGAAGCTGACGAAGAAGTTGACCACGGTGATGGCGACAATGAAGCCCGTGGCCATGTTGTTCAGGTAGTCGAGTCGTCTCTGATTGGACACCACGTTCAGGTCCCTGCGTTAGACAGACACAGTCACACACACACACACACACAAGCATCCCATCATTTTAAACACACACATTGTTACACACACATACACCCATACATACACACATACTGTATGTTGCTGTATGAATGGTCAAAAAAAAATTCCAGCAGCAAATTCACACACACTTGACTCAGACTACCCTCCTGTTTTTTTCCCATAATAAAAACCCGATAACGCAATGCCTGGGTTTCGCCAAATGACGTCTGCCATAAAAAT